CCACTTCTTTCTGATGTGATTGGGATTTTCAGTGATGGTCCCACCAAGACTTTACCTTAAATTCAAAGGTCCAAGTTAGGGAAATAGCGCAGTGGGTAAGAGCACTTGTTATGCCAGCGTGAGTTCAAATCTCCAGCACACATGTAAAAAAGCCAAGTATGGCCGTATGTGTATGTCTATAATCCCAACACTGTGGGGAACAGAGAAAGGAGGGTCACTAGAGCTTGTGAGCCATCAGCCTACCTCAAGATTCATGGAGAGACCCTGTCTCATGGGAATAAAACAGAGTGACAGAGCAGGATACCCAGGCTCCCCCTCTGATTTCTGTGTGCACAGGTGCTCTCTCTCTCTCTCTCTCTCTCTCTCTCTCTCTCCCTCTCTCACACACACACACACACACACACACACACACATACGCCAAAAGCAGCGTGATGGAGAACAGGGGCATACAACGTGCCATCAGTACACACAAAGTCAATTTCTGGCCTGGTCTGGCTCCATGTAATACAGGGTCCAACAAGCCAGCCCCAGGTTCAAGGTTCTCCAGCCAGAAGTGACAGGCTAGCAAATGGGATAGGAACTCCCACATTTATCGAGCACTGAATGTGGTAGATGTTTTTTTTCTAAGTGCTTCATTGAACAGACTGAGGGAAGAGTAAATGGGGAAACTGAGGCCTGGGATCCAAGTGACTTTTTTATAATGGATTCAGTTAGTAGATAACTTTTTTTTTTTTTTTTTTTTTTTTTTATAATGCATTTAGTTAGTAGATGGTGGGCTGAGGTCTGAGACCAGGCAGTGAGGCTTTTGGAATCTTACCTATCATCCATCCTGCTTTCTGCCTTACTATGATTCAGAGCCTAAGACACTGGGAGAAGTACCATCAGCCCTGAGAGCTGAGCCATGCAAACTGCAGACTACAGCTGCCTCCTTTGCTGCCTCAACAAATCTGCTTAGATGCATAGCCTTGCAAATATGTGTGCTTCCTTTTAATTTTTTTTTCCCCAGACAGGGTCTCATATCTGAGAACTATGAGTCCAGGCTAGCCTTATAGATCTCATATGTAAGACCTATGGCCCAAGCTGGCCTTGAACTCACTAAGTGACTAAGGATAACTTTAAACTTACTTTCATAATCTCCTGCTTCCATTGAGTAGAGGGAGTACAGGGGTGTGACTCACACCCGGTTTATCCAGGGTTTCACACAGGCAAGTACTCTGTCAACTGAGCTACACCTCCAACCCTATAGAGTTTCCCTTGGGTTCAATGTCTAGAGACAAGAATGGCTAGGATGGAGGTGGCCCTGCTCATCTTTCCCATGTGTGGCTCTTTAGAGGCTACACATGTGACACCCCAACAAAGACATGTGAGGGGTGCTGTCCTCACATCCTTCCATTTGTTCAGGTGGTCATGAGCTCTCACAGTTCCAGGTCTGATGGATGTGACCTGGCAGGTTACTGCTGCCTAATATCATGTCATGGTGCTTCTGTGATCAGCAAAATAAATGCTCCAAGACATTTTGAAGAGTAAATGCCAAAGATTTAGAAGTGAGCTGACAGTCCCATCTGGAAAGAAGTGTTCCATGAGTGCAGAGGAGGGTGTCTGCCTGGAAGAGACACATGGAGAGCAGGTGGCCACCGTGCAGGGGAGTGTGCTACAGGCTGACTGTCGTCAGTGAGGTACTAGCAGGTGGGATCCACAGGAGGGTTTTCTTTGGACCGGGACTACTGGGTGAAGTTACTTATGGGCTAAGGTGTTAGTGCATTACCCAGATCCTGAATGGTGGGTATGTTGTGAATGTCAGCTTGTTAAGTTATTTATTTTGCTTTTCGTGTGTGTGTGTGTGTGTGTGTGTGTGTGTGTGTGTGTGTTTGAGACAGGGTCTCTCAGTGGTTTAGAGCTCACTGGGTAGGCAGGCTGCCTAGACATTGAACCATGCCTTCCTCCTGTCTCTGTCACTATGGAACTAGAATTACAAGTGTGTGTCACCAAGCCTGGCTTTTTTTTCCCCATGAGTTTTGGGAATTACAGAACTGATCTACCTTACAGGGTCTATGCAAGTCTTCTTTGCTCTCTCTTGTGCATGTCTCCCCCCCCCACCCATAACCTCTGCAGATTCTCCACCAGCAAGGCCCTCCCTCTCCAACAGCCTTTCAACTCCAGAAACTGTATAAACTTTTTCCCTTTAAACACCTGCCTTTAACACTGCACTGAAAATGTCATCCATTTCATGCGGGACACAGGACACCATAAACCCATTAGACCTAGCTTTATTGTCCACATGGGGCACTAGGCTTGTTTTAAGATCACATCACTTACTTCTCAGGGTCTAACATTTTACTGAGTATAGAAGTGCTGTGAACCCAGGGAGAACAAACCTTCACTGTTGTAAACTATACAGTCTGTGGCATTTAATTACAGCAGCAGCAGACAGATAGGTGGAGGCCTTCCAAGACTCTTACAGGAGGACCCCAGGTAAGATTCTGGCCCTGTGTTTGCATGGGAGGCACTGGTTAACAGTGCAAAGCTGTGGCATCCATCTGTATACCAGGCCATATGTATAAGAGTGATCCACCATATTCAGAGAGAGGACCAGGGAGTCGGCAGTGACTGGGGCTGACATAGGGAGGGTCGGTAGGATTGGCAATGAGAGCCAGAGGCTTGGAATAGGGTGGGACTCAAGGATCTTCATAGAAAAAAAAAAAGTGTAGACATCTGGAACTCCAGGTGACAGACCAGAATTCTATTATTCTGCATCCCTTAAAGTGTTGCCTGTTTTGCTGTGGCCTTCTGGGAACTTCTCTGAGGGAATCCTCTATCCAGCTCTGTTTGCTTCATAATGATCTGCTGCCTGTTGCCACACTGAGCATAGGCTCCTCTGAAAGCATGGATTGTCTCTGTGCTGGCTGGCCATCTGCTCTGAGGCCATTTCCCTAGCCCTGGTCCAAGCCCATGGTGCTGACTCCAGATGGAATGTGCAACTTTTTTTTTTTTTTTTTTTTTTTTTTTTTTTTTTTTATCCAGAACTCATTCCAACAGGGGCTTCTACAGCCACCAAGATTGTGACTGCAAGCACCTGAAACCTCACAGCCACCATGTTCAGAAGATCTGTTCTCACAGTGGTACTTGTATCTGGTAGCTTCAGGGACCCTGAAATGGAAGGTCAAGGAGTACGCAGGCCATAGCTTCCTTGAGTGGATAATAGTGTCACCCAGACCCATCCTAAAGGGGCAAGTGTTCCACAAAAACATGCCTTTTGGGCCTCCTTCCCTGGGTTGCTGAAGATGTATGGGTTTTCAGATATGCATGTGCGTGTGTGCGTGCATGTGTGTCCCCTTGTGTATGTGTCTTGTATGTGTGTGTCTGCGTGCATGTACATGCACATAAGTGGACAGGTGTGTGGGTGCATGCAGGGTCGTTAGGTGTGGTTCCTCAGGTACTGTCCATCTTGTGTTTTGAGACAAGTGCCATTCTGTTTGAGACAGGGTCTCTCATTAGCCTAGGACTTCCCTATTTGGTGAGGCTGCCTGGCTAGTGAGCCCTTTGGGATCCAACTGTTTCCACCTTCACAGTACTCGGTTTGCAGGCATGTGTTACCATGCCTGAGTTCCTTTTTATATGGGTCTTAGGGGATCCACCTTAGGTTCTTAGGCTTGCATATGTTACTGACTGAGACATCTCCTAGTCCTCAATCTCCTTAAAATTTTTTTGAGATTTATTTTTGTTTTATGTATATGAATGACTTGCCTACATGTATGACTGTGTATCACATTTGTACCTGGTGCCCATGGATACCAGAAGAGGATGTTAGATCCCCTGGAATTGGAGTTATAGACAATTGTGAGCTGGGAATCACCCCGGTGCCTTTGAAAGAGCAGCCAGTGCTCTAATTGCTGAGTCATCACTCCAGCTCCTCAATCTCTTTTTAATAAAACTGAAATATTTCTTTAAACCAAGTCTTAGACTGGCAAGATCAAAAGCAGGTAATAGCAGTGGCTTTCTAGCATCTGCTCATCATTTCATATGAACAATTTCACTGGACACTGCCTACTGTCTTGGAGTTTCCTGTGAGTGGGGACCAGGTGGATATCACTGGTGACATGGGTCTGTGGCCGTACATTGTGGGATCCTTCCCCTGAAATGCCTGGTTTCCCTTACTTCCCATTCTCCAGCACATGGCAGAGCCCTTGCCCATGCTCCCCACCTGGCTCAGCTCTGGATCTGTCTTTGTTCTCAGTCAGAAGCCACCAGATGTTTCCTTCCCTGCTCCCAGGGCTGTGGAAGTCACTCCCCTTCCAAACTCACTCTGAAGCAGCATTTCACCCACCCCAACCTCCATGCAGAAGGAGTGGCTTGCAGGAGAGTTAGTGACTTGGGATCATGTCAGGCAGAGACAGTGTGGGACACCTGAGAGTGAGTGGGCCTCCCTGAGCCCTGTCTCCCACTGGGCAACAGTAACGAACACAGAGTCTTTAATATGACCTAGTAAGAGGATAAATGAATAAAGGCATCGATGATGTTTTAAGACACCATTTGCTGGCTTTCCACCAGTCTTGTTAGAGCTGCGTCTCTGAATGTGAAGTTGAAAACCTGAGGTTCACATGTCATCCCAGCAGCCTCTCCCATGGGTCAGCGCAGGCCTCATACTGGGAAACAGGTGCTTCCAGGAGCCTGGGTGTCAGCACTGACTATGACAAAATAGCCTGCCATTTCCCAAACACCCGTCGGGCACAGCCTGGAGGGGAAAGTCCATTACGAATGGGCTTGCCACGGACCACAAATAAATGGAGGGAATTCAGGGTTAATAAAATGTAAATTCTATTCCACGAGAAAGCCTCAGTGCCCTGCGCAGGAACACATGAGGCCCGTGATGCTCTGTGGGTGGGAGACGCTGCAGTTGGCTTGATTGGTGTCTACCCAACCCCACTGTCTGAACAGAAACAGGAGATAGCAAATCTCCCAGACCTTTCTCTCCTCCCTACTCCCACCCCGATGTTCCTTACCCAGAATCACACCATTGGGCTCCTCGGGGGGCTGCCACACAATCCGAACTGCAGTGAGCCTCACTTCAGGGAACACCAGCCGAACGGGGGGGACCTGGGGCTGAAGGGAAGCATGGTGAGCCAGGAGTCACATGGGGTTTGTGGTCAGCCTCCATGCTCTAATGACCAACATGGGCCTTCCTGAGGTGGCACCATGTTTTCGTGCTTTTAAATTTATATTCTAAAACATTGACTTGCCCTTAAAAACAATTTATTTATTTATTTATCTATCTATGTGTACATGTGTCTGTCAGTGATATATGCTGCGGGTGTGCAGCTGTCTGTCCACAGAGGCCAGAAGCTGGCATCCAATTTCCTGGAGCTGGAGTTACAGACAGTTATGAGCTGCCCGATATGACCCTGGAACTTGAACCCTGGGAGAAGGCAAGCATTCTTAACTGCTGAGTCATCGCTCCAGCCCCTTATGTTTTATTTTATATCTGGCTTTTTATGTGGGTTTTAGGGATTTGAACTCAAGTCCTTATGCTTATTCAGCAGGCCCTTTGCCTACTGTGTCATTGTCCCAGGTCATGATTTCAGTGAAGGACTTCTGGACCTTTGTTGGCTCCATGTGACTCCCTAATGACTCTGAAAAACACACTTAATTTTGAACCCTGACCTTCTGGTTCAGAAAACCATGCTTAGAAACTATGCTTGCATGACTTGAGAGGATAGCTCATGGCAATGCCAGCCTGAGTGTCACCTATGACTTTGAAGTAAATATTCCACTAATCTGAGTTCAGATTCCTTTGCTCAGTTTGATTGGCAAGTAATACTGTCAACATGACAGGATCTACATCACCTGGGGGGACACACCTCTGGCCATGTCTGTGGGATCTCCAGATTGGATAAACTGAGGTGAGAAGACCCATTCTGAATATGGGTGACTCCATCCCATGGGCTGGGATCCTGGACTGAATTAAAAGGACAAGGTGAGCTGAGCATCAGCATCCATCTCTTTCTGCTTCCTGACTGTGGATGTCATGTGACCAGCTGCCTGATGCTCCAGCTGCCATAACTTCACCACCATGATGGTCTGTGTACCCTTGAGCTATGAGCAGAGTCCTTCCTTAAGCTGTTGTTGTTAGGTATTTGGTTACAGCCACAACAGAAGTAAATAATACAAGGAATCCTTTAGTACCCCCCCCCACCAACCACTGATAAAGCACCTTGAACCAATACTTTCTGGCCTACACCTGCCTCACCTCACCCTCCCTGTCTTAGGAACATAATAGCTGATGCTCACAGATGCATATAATAATTCTTCCATGTGGTTCAGTGCACTGATAATTTAAAATGCAGTTATGTCTTGTAGAACGAATGAATAATAGAATCTCAGCCCTCATAAAATATATTTGCTTAAATGGATAGGCAAGTTAGTGTGTGGCCAGTGTGAGAAGTTCTCATTGGACTTAATCATGGATTGATTCCCACAAAACGGCCAGGAGCAATCAATGCAAAAAAAGAGAATGTGGGGAATGTCCATTCTGGGCAGGTGAATTTGGACGTGTGTAATGATACCTATACATGGGTGAAACAAATGCCCAAAGGAAGCCACTGGCTGGAATGTCAGGGCTAATTTATAATACCAGTGTGACAAAGCAATGACCTTCTGAGCTGCCCCCGAGGCTCAATAGATTGTAGCAAAATTAAGACAGAAGGCATGTTTACATAAATAATACAGTAATAGAAGGAAAAAGTCATTGCCTGACTACATGTGTCCTTTAGAAATAATAATGGCAGTGGACATTGAGGGACTGGTTTTTAAACATCTCTACTCTCTTTTCATAGGACTAAACTAAAGTGTGTACACATGGACAGTTGGTGCAACTTGCAGCTAACATGTCTCAGAATCGGTTTCCCCCTATATTTCCTATTTGCTCCTAGCCCCTTGCCTTGGAGAAAGCTGAAGGATAATCCCACGGAGGCAGTGATGGTTGTGAGTGTCAATGTGACAGGATCTGGAATCACCTAAGAGACAGACGGCTGGGCATGTCCATGACAGATTTTCTTGATTAGTTTAACCATTAGTCTTGATTAGGACTAAGTGTGGCTGACACCACCCCATGGGCTGGTGTCATACACTGAATAAGAAGGAGAAAGCAAGTTGAGCATCAGCCTTCCACACATCTATCTCTGCTTCCTGACTGTGATTGCCATGTGACCCGCTGCCTCATGCTCCTGTCACCACCTGTACCCTCAAACTGTGAGCCCAAATCAACCCCCTTCTGTAAGACTGCTTCTCAGGCATTTGGCCATAGCAAAAACAGAAGTCACACAGAGCCAAGGCCTGATCCACACACTGTATGAAGAAGGGGCCGGGGCTCTTTTAATGGAGCAAGTAGAGTTATGGCTCATTATCCATTCCAAGATGCTTAGACAACCCTATTGTTGTTTCTGTCCTGTCAGACACTTCTGATCCCAAGGAGGGTGTTTGGGCAGATCAGTATTTTCCCCTGACATATTCATTATGGCCTGTTTAATAACGAATGTGTGAAGGAGCTAACCTTTAAGTGTTTGGCATCTGCAAAGTGGAAAAACATATTTACTGATGATTTAGACTTCCATAAAAACAAAGCCAGCAAGATGTGCTTGTTACTGAAATCTGGAGGCACCAGAGCTTGGGGACCCCTGGGTGCTGTCAAACATGCTGCTTTCTGTGCAGGAACATGCAATTAGCAGTTGGAATACAAATGGTGAGACCTGCCATCCTCATGAGAATGGACACATGGGTCCAGTGTGGATTTTTTTTCTAGATCTTCAGAGCTGCTACTAAGTGGACGGGCTCACATTTCATAACCTAGCCCACCCTTACCAGCCCTTGCCCACAGCATAGTTAGGATCAGAATTCTGCAAAGTTCATAATCAGGCTGTAAAAACCCTTTCCAGGCTCAAAATGGACACATAAATGCCTAGTGACTGGAAAACAATTTCGTTTTGTTTCCCTCAACTAGGGAAAAAAGAAGTGGTTGAAAATTTACATTAAAAACAACTGCAATCCAAATCGTTTGGATTGGAAAACTAAGGCAGAAGGCAGCGAGGCCAGCCATGTACTCACTGTCATCTTTGGTACGCTCCAGGATGAGCGGGGAGCTAGGAACCCCATTCCCAATACGAGTGAAGGCCAGCACCTGGAGCTCATACACCACGAACTTGCGCAGGCCAGCCAGCAGCGCAGACTGTGTGTGGTTCCCTCGCACCACGTGGCTTCTGGGCTCTGGATCCAGGTCTTTGGCACAGTATAAAATCTAAAGCATCAACACACACACATGCAGATGGTTACAGCTAAGTGCATGCTCGGAATGTGCACAGGGTACCAGCTCAGAGCTAACCGGCAAGGACCACCCAACCGGGTTTCTCCATAAGGGCAGCTGTAATTGAGGGAGTTTTGGATCACATTTCTATCCACTGGCATCAAGGGGGAAGGCAGCCATGAGGCAGCTACACTCTAGAAGAGTGGTTGGAATCACACAGCTCTGCCTACAGCTTCGTGATTTGGCTGCCTGGGCACAATTTGGCAAGATCTGAAACTCTCAACTATAGCCATGGCAAATGCTCCTGCTGAAGCATGGGCTTGGTCTTGGGCACAGGCCTGTTGGTTCCTACTGCTCTTTCTCATGTGAACCCGAGGCTTGCCCCTAGGTCACAGGGATGAACTGAGATGGGCTCTTCCAGGGACTCCGCCTCTTTCTCCCCTCAGATCTCCTTCTAAGATCATCCCCTCCGAACTTTTTTCCAAGGTAAGTGACTGACAAGCCATAAAAGAGAAGGTCACTGGGGAGACATTTGGAACCAGCAGAGGAAGCATGTCCCCGTGAGAACCAGGAGATGTGGCGTGGACCTTTGTCCACTGAACCCAAGAGGACTGCTGTGTTGCAGGAGGCTTGCCAGTGCTGTGCCTCCGTTGTACACTCTGGATTGCCATGTTCCCTAAGAGTGCCATATAACACGGGTCCAGAATGGAGCCGTTAGAATACTTATGGAGAGGGAATGCAGATGAGCACAGCTCAGGGGAATGCAGTTGGGATTTAAGGACAGAATGACAACTGGGCATGGTGGGTAAAGCATCTCATCCCAGCACTTTGCAAGACCAGGCAGGAAGACTGCTGTGAGTTCAAGGTCACTACCTAGTGAGTTTCAGGCCAGCCTGAGCTATAGTATGAGAGCCTGTCTGATAATAATTAGTTGCTGCCCCGCCTCAAAAAGGCAGAGGAAAAAGCCATTAAAAACAGTTACTGAAAGACAAGAGAGAAGAGAATGCCTAAAATCCACTGAGTATATATATGGAAGGCAGTTTCTTGTTGTACAAGGGATTGAATCCAAGGACTCATGAATGCTAGACAATCGATAGGTCATCAAGCCATACCCAAACCCCTCACTGGGGGAGTCTAGGCAGGTGCTCTACTGCTTCATTACAGCCCATAATCCCATGAGAGCAGCACCAAATTACATTACAGCCCATCATCCCATGAGAGCAGCATCACATTAGTGACCAGATCCAGGGAAACCAGTCATGCTGCTTGGGAGACTGGAGCTAGAGGCAGAGCCAGGGAATTGTATTGGTCATGAGAAACAGGCAGTTGTGAAGAGTCTAGGTAACAGCTTAGAAAATGGGACCGGGAGAAACTAGGGTAAGTCCAACTGTAACAGAGGACAGCTCTGCCTAGGTCCTGCACAAATCAGCATAGACCATTTCCCAGAAAGCCCTAATTTCTCTTAGCAACTCTGGGAAGTGACCACTGTGATCATTCTCATTTGACAGTAGGTGACAGAAGCTGCATCCATTCATGGTCCAAGGGCCCAGAGTGCCTCAGCCAGAACAGGCAGAGCCAGGGCCTGGTTGCTGGTCAGGGCCCACTTGAATTTGCTTTCTGACTGATGCCTGGAAAGCAAGCCTCCTAGTTCATCTTTCCCAGACAAGACAGCTGATAGAGTCAGGAGCTGGCCCAAGTGGCAGATCTGGGACAACTTCCCACCAACCCCAAAGACAGAGCAGAGAAGAGGCACCAGAAATATATACCTTGTAGCCCAGGATAAGCCCGTTCTGGTCCTGTTCAGGGACTGAAGCCCAGGTCAGTAGGATCTGGGTGGAGCTCACAGCCTCTGCAGACACATTTTCAGGAGCAGCTGAAGGGACTGCAAAAGAACATGTCACAAGATTAGCATCAGCAGTCTCCAGCCTTTTATGAACAGAAGGGAATTTATACACACACATACACATACACACACACACAGACACACACACACAGACACACACACACATAGACACACAGACACACACAGAAACACACAGACACACACAGAAACACACAGACACACCATTCAGGCTGTCCTTGAAACAGCAGTGGTTCTGAGCATTTTCTGTGGATCAGATAAGCCTGCAAGTGCACAGCACACATGTAAATCTCTTTAATATGAGCAACAAATTCCGTAAATCCTAGGTATTTAGAACTCAATTCTACCTGAGCCCAGCCAGCAAGAAAACGCTCTCCGTCTGTTTCTGGTAATAACTTAAAGAGCTGCAGGCTTTTACTTCCAATAGGAATTCCTCAATTTCAGATGGGTACTAGCTCACGGAGACTACTAAACATGAAGGTTCACGAGGGTTGAATAGAAGAGGTGGATGGGTATGATGAGCAGAGGGCTAGACCCCAGGGATGATGTTTGCTGTATGTGGGTGGGGGGGGGGCACGAGGGAGCCGTGCCTCATAACGTTGTGTCTCAGATTCCTAATTGAGTTTAATCCCTCAAGATCAGCGGAGGCAGGAGAGCTAAGGTGGATCTGTTTGTTTGTCCTGTGTTTTCAGTGCTGGGATGGAACTGGGGGCCTCACATAATGTTCAGCAAGCATTCTACTATTGGGCTTGGAAATCTAAGGCTGCAGAAAGCTGTATTTCATTCTAGTTATTGTGGAGTGTGTGTGTGTGTGTGTGTGTCTGTGTATGTGTGTGTGTGTACGTGCATGCATGTGTGCACGCATGTGAAAACAGAGACCAGAGGTCAACCTTGGTTTTTGTTCCTTAATCACGATCCACTTTATTTTTCAAACAAGGTCTGTCAATGGCCAGGGGCTCATGGATTAGTCTAGGCTTGCTGGTCAGTGAGCCCATGAGCCCAGAGATCCTCCTGTCTCCACCTCCCAGCTCTGGAAATAAAGCATATAGTACGACATCTAGCTTTTAACAAGGGTTTGGTCCTAACTCAGTCATTTCACTGCCTAAGCCACCACCCTGGCCTTATTGTTTGTCCATTTTTGAGATGGGACTTGCTTTATATCAATATGGCCTACAACTCACTATGTAGCCCAGGCTGGCCTCGAGCAATCTTCCCATCCCTCCACTTCCCATTCCATTTCATTTAAAAGACTGTTTTGTTATAGGATTGCCTAAGAGGCAATCCTTTCGATTTTCTACCCTGTGTATGCAATGCAGTTCTCTTACATTTGGGCAATCTTGCCTCACTTAGTTTCCTTTGATGGCACTGACTGCCTTGATGAGTGTCCTAGGAATCAGATACCATGGAACTATGAACAGCAGTGAACTTCACAGACAAGTTTTTTCTATTTTATCAGTCCATCTAATCTGTGGCCCATGGGCCATGTGTGTCCCCAAATAGCTATGAAAGTATCCCAACACATTTGTAGATGGCAATAAAATATCCCAATGTTGAAATGTTGGACATTCTGTCGGATAAATCACCATTGCTTCAAGAATTTGCTTATGGGCCCATTTACATATCAAAGGCTGCCCACCCAGGATGGGATGGAGCAGGGAACATTCTCAAGTGGTCAGATGATGCACTACTTAAAAGGGTACCAGGATAGAGCAGAAGGCTCCCCTGAGCTTGAGCCTAATGGTCACACCTTGTCCTAGGGCTTCCATGCTGAAGGAGGGCACATTTCAAGGCCATCACATCTTCGATGCATGACAGAGCTTGGTCACCTGTCTCTGCAGTGCTGTGTGGGATGGGCCACTCAGCCCATGAGGCAAGACAGCTTTGTGGACACCATAGGCATGCAAGGATGGTGCTACAGGAAGATCCCAGAGATGCAAGCATGAGTCAAGGAGGCAGCAGAGGCTGTCTAGGACCTAGGACAGAGCCTCCCATAGAGTGCAGGCCCATGGACACCTGGACCTAGGCTCATGCTTCCAGAACTGTGACGGAGCACACCTGTTATTCAAGCTGCCATTTGAGGTGTTTCCTTTTTTTCACATCTGTTTTTGTGTGCACATGTGCATAAGGGTGTTTGCATTTGTACATGGGTGTGTTTGTGCAAGCCAGTGTCCAACTTTGGGTAGTACTCTTCAGGCAGTGTCCATCTAGCCATCATGTTTGGTTTTTCTAGTTTGAACTTGGGTCCTCATACTTCCACAGCCAATGTTTTACCAAATGAGCTGTTTTCCCAGTCTCCAGTAAAAAAAAAATTTCAGACAAAGTACCATTACCCATAAAAGTCTGAGACAATTGTTGAGCTGGATTGGGTCAATGTTAAAGCCAGCAGTGTCTACAGAAAGAGAAGGGAGAGGGGAAGTCCTGCTCAAGTCATAGCCTAACAGGACAAACTGCTGGGATGACACTGTGTGTGGCTGGTGTCCACTTTTGCCTCTTCCTCCACCCACAGGAAATCCTTTTAGAGGGGAAATCATGGCAGAAGTTTCCGGCTGTCTACCTTGAGATATGCTAGCTTCCTGACCAGAACCAGAGGTGGCATCTTGTCCCTTCTTTCCTAGATACATGAAGAACCCTCTCCTAACTACTCAGCGTCCGATCACTAGCCAGAACACCCCCCAAATGTGTCTCTGATCATGCCCCCAAATAAGAAGGCTGTGTGTGTGCACCCTTGACCCAAGCTCTAAGGGAACCCAATAAATTCACTGGCTCCCCAAGCTGGACTTGGGTAGAGTCATCACTTTGATTTATGGTTGGTCCATGGTCTAGGGTGAGGGGGGGTTTGTCTGTGTTCCCCTGTAAGGAGTCAGTGCAACAATCATTGATGACTGACTCTGGTACAGGACTTGTCTGTGCCAGAAACAACAACTTGATGTGCTCTACTTGCAGGGGTTCCCTGGGGACCTCAAATGCTACTATGTATGGCCTTGTCTGGAAAACAGCTTACAAAGATGCTTATTTATTTTATTTTTAAAAAAGCGATAAAACGGTGCCTTGAATCACTAAGAATGAAGGAGTTGCTATTGTTACAAGCATGGAAGCTTGCCACTTATCAGACTCCATTTTCCGACTTGATTTGAAATAAGATTGCAAATCCAAAACATGTTATATGCCTGCTATATTTGTGCTGTGTTCTGAAAACTGTCCCCATCCTTAAAGAGAGAGACCATTGTCATAGCAACTCAATTGGTCCACCTCTTGGACCCCTACCTGTTTCCTGTGAGGCCAGTCTTGGCAGTTCTAAGTGCCTACTTCTTGCTATAGACCCACAACCCACTGCTGATTTTCTGAGATGCAGTAATGGGAGCATTCACTCACAGGAGGCCCAGCTGTAGCCCCAAAGAGCCAGAGCAACCTGGTGACTTAGCCCTGAGCTTTGAACCTTGCTATTTCCTACTGGGAGAGAGCCTGCCTGGTGGGGCTGTTAAGAACAGGAAATGACATATTGCTAGACTGAAATTTCAGCTGATTCAAATTCCCCTGTGACAAAGCCTACTTTTTTTTTTTTTTTTTTTTTTTTTTTAAGACACAAAGAAGAATTGTACCCATTATCTGTTCTGAGGTACATTCCACTTCTTTTCCAATTTATCTTAAGTTCTGATATGTTCTTAGAAATTCCCCTTCCATCAAAAACAAAGTAGCCCAGTGTGCTTATTTTCTCTGTCTCCACCTGTGTTTTCTCGTCCAGGGTTCTCCCCGATGTTCACCACCAGTCCTTGTGGTGTCTCTCTTGACTTTTCAGGCCTCATTTATCTTTATAATATGTCACAGGGTGTTACAGAACCCTTTAGACCACACTTCAAACTATTACTCAATTTCATTGAAATGTTGTTCAAATCGGTTTTGTTTCTAAGCCCCTTTGGGGTATTTCTGTGCATTGTGAGATTATTCTTTATAATTTTTTAAATATGTATATATGTGTGTGTGTCTGCATGCATACATGTGCACATACCTATGGGTAGGACTTCACATGCATGTGGAGGTTAGGGGAGAGCAATCAGTACCTCTGTTCTGTGGGTTGTAGGGATTGGACTCAGGTTGTCAGGCTTGGAGGGTGGAAGGGGGGCAAATGTCTTTACCTCCAGGGCCATCAACACCGCAATGGCACCCACTGAGAGCCAGCTTGCTGGCCCTGGTGACATTCTTTTTAAGTCTCGGGAAGATGGTTTTGATTAGCTGATGTGAGACTGTTTAGACAGAGCTCAGTGGCTTTGGGCTCCTCCCCAGAACATTCTACTACACACTCTCCACCATACAGGACCAGCTCCTGAAATCAGCCCCTGTGACTCTGTGCCAAATGAGAATGACGGGCAATACCTGTCAGGATGGAATTCTCTACAGGGGAGGGTAAGTGTTAGGTAGAGCCACAGACATTAGTGAGTCAAGCCCACATATAATAGGGACTGGGGCTGTAGGTGAGTTGGTAGGGAACTTACCTAGCATGAATGAAAGCCCCAGGCCTGAGCTCTAGCACTGCAGAAACTGGGTTGGTACTAATTCACCTGTAATCCCAGTAGCAGGGAGATACAGACAAGAGTTCAAGGTCATCCTCAGCTACATAGAGAGTTTAAAGCTAGCCTGAGCTGCATGAGACTCTGTCTCAAAAAAAAAAAAAAAAAAGGGAGAAATTAATAAAATTAATCGTTCAAACTGCTACAACCGGGGAGGGCATGCTGGTCTGAGGGAGGAGACTCTGAAAGCTCCATTCAAAAGGTGGAGGAGATGAGTCCTCCAGGGCCATCAACACCGCAATGGCACCCACTGAGAGCCTCCAGGTGTGTATTAGAATTCATTCGGCACAGAAAATGCCTGTTTCCATTGATTTTAGCACCTACAGAGTTGTCATCAAAGTGGAAGCCCACACCCACCACTAGTCACTCTCCACTCCTCTCAAACTTTCTTTACATAGACCCAACATAGCTGGGTCTATAGATTCCTTTGCATTGGGCATTTCAAGTCATGAGACCATATACCATGTGGCATTTTGCATCTGATTTCTTTCACTTAATTCTTTTTTTTCAAGGTGCACCCACATTACTGCAAGCATAAGAATCCCACTCCTTTTATAGTTGATTCCCCCAACCCCTCTGTATAGACATACAAACTTTTCCTCTATCCCTTCATCATTGATGGACAAGTGGGATCTTGCTACTTTTTGCTATGAACATTCATGGACATGTTCTGGTAGACATAGGTGTTCAGTGCTCTTGGGTGCTGTGACAACTAATATTGATTGTAAACTTGACATCTAGAATCACCCATGAGGAATCTGGGCACACTTGTGAAGAACTGTCTTGTTTAGATTAGCCTGTGTCCATGCCTGTGAGGATTAGCTAGATTAGGTGGCGATTTTTGGTTTTGCAAACATTTGCTATGCCATCTTTTTTATTTTGACCTTCTTATGAAGTGACATCTCCTTATGACTTGGATTTGCATTTTCTTCCTGGTTAATGGTGTTGAACCCCTTCTCATGTGCATATTAGCCATTTGTCTCCATCTCTGAAGAACTCTCTGTTCAGGCATTTGCTCTGTTCTAAATAGGACCATTTGCCTTTTCACTGTTAAGTAAGAGGTCTTGATTATTTATATCCCAACCCTTTGTTAGACACAGCACTTGGAGATATTTTCTTTTGATGAAGCCTGATTTGCCTACTTTGTTGTTGTTGTTGTTGTTTGTGATTTGGGGTTCTGCAATCACCTTTGTACATTAATTTCCCTTCTGGGAGCATCCAGACCACACATATAGTGCATATCAGAACCCATACCTGACACAGGCACAGACTGTAGGGTCATCTGTTTCTAATATAGCCTAGGCAGACACAGGTGGATCTCTGTGACAGGTACTGTTGGTCCCCTATTTCCACTGTCTCCACACAGGACTTTGGGTCCCCCCTTCACCAGCATCCATGGATTCCAAGCTGGCCCTCCTGTCCCTGCATGGGCAGTGAGGGCCAGGTCCTGAAAAAGACTAGTGAAGAGCTGAGGCAATGATTTCAGTCAGTAAAATAAGTGTTTGTCTTCCACTGAGGACATGAGTATGATTCTCAGTACTCATGTTTTGTTTTTAAAGCAGCGGGGCTGGAGAGATGACTCAGCAGTTAAGAGCACTGGCTGCTCTACCAGAGGACTCAGGTTCAGTTCCTAGCACCAAGATAGCAGTTTACAATCACCTATAACTGCAGTTCCATGGGAACTGATGCCCTTTTCTGCACTAGGTAGGTACCAGGTACATAAGACATACATGCAGGCAAAACGCCTGTACACACAAGGAAACAACAACAAAAACAACAAAACAAGCCAGGGGATTGCTAGGACAGAAAGATCCTCAGTGTTCACTGGCCAGCCAGTCCGGTGTAATCAGAGAGCTCCATGTCAATGAGAGACCTTGTCTCTAAGGAGCTGACCTCTGGCCTCCACCATGTTCACACACATGTATACCAGCACCTATGCACACAGACATGCACACACATGAACAAGAAAAATCAGGGAAGATCCAGAGCAGGTACTCCAGCCCAGCTCTTGCTGCTATGGGAGATTTTTGCTGTTTTTCTTTTGTGTCCAATGATAAATTTAAAACTTCCAAAACTACTTTTTATCCACAGCTTTCTAGTTTCTATCCAAAGTTTTGTTTCTTCAAAGAAATATTTTATTGGTCTGCCTATTTCTGGTTTTAAAACTATCCTTTAAACACATCTCCAGGTCCCTCTCCTTGTCACAAAGACTCAGCTGAAGAAGATGAAAGAGGTTGCAGCCAAGTGTGTCTGCATCTTTTCTTGCTGATATAATAAAAGTTACAGTTGGAAGAGAGCCCTGACTGGTCACTGCAAACCCCTCTCTAAATCTTGGTCCCCACAGAGGCATGCTGGTCACCACAATGGCCACTCTTCATGTATACTGACTGGGGTTACTGGGTTCCTATACATATGCTCTGCAGTCTGAGTGTTCCTTGAGACTGGGTGGGATGTAGCTCTGCCAGGATCTGGGTCTTGCCTCCATGCACAAATTGAGCATGGCATAGTGGGTGTATTCTAGCACTGTAACTGATCCCATGGCATACCAGAGCCTGGGTCCTTGAATGAATAGCCACCAACAAACAAGAACCCCACCTCAGAAGTCCACTTCTTACCGCATACTGTCTACATTCATTCACAAAGAACAGGGCCTGATGTCTGATATATTTAAGGAAATTTGTGCTTCTTGCATTTTATCACTGGTAATGAACATCATTATTAACTTTAAAATATCATAAAATAATCCTGGAACCTGTTAAAATCCAAAGGAATGGCTGTGAGTAGGTGATGATTAATATACGTTGTCAACTTGACAGGCTCTAGAAGCATCTAAGAGTCAAGAGCCTGGCCACACCTCTGAAATACTGTCTGGAGTAGGTTGGTCTCTAGTCATGTCTACAAGAGACTGGGTTAACTTGATTAGGTAATTAAGATGGCTTCTATCAGCCTGTTTTTATAACAGCAGTAGGAAACAAACAAAACACCAAGTCTGACAAAGCCTGTCTAAGCTGGGGTTAGGAATGTACCATTTCAGATACAAGTGAGACACAGAGAGAGTCTATTATCCAGAGATGTGGAAATGCAGGGCCACCAAACTCATCTCTACAAGAAACAGCCTTGTCTTTGTAACTTCATTACCTCCCTCTCACCTGACTCCCGTGTGCGACCCCGCACCAGCTCACTCCAGGGTCCAGCCCCAATGGCGTTGAAGGCCTGCATCCGCAGTTCATACTCTGTCCACTCCTCCAGCTCCTCGATGGTCAGCTCCCTCTCCAGCCGGTCATTGACAACTTGGGCCAGTGCTGAGGATGGTTGGTCTGAACGCCAGTACTTTACCCGATAGCCCACAGACTCAGGGTTCCCATTGTACTGGGAATCAGGCAGAGGCTGGCAATGAATGACAGGCTAACATGAGTGGATACCTTGCAACTGTCACTTTTGATGGTCTTCAAGAATAAACCCATCCTATAGGGCCAACTCCATTTTCTTAGGTCAATTTCTCTGGAATTTTTTAGAAGGTGTGCATGCATACACAAACATGTATACATGTTCATATTCATGCGTTAGTAGAGGCCAGAGGTTGATTTGGGCATCTTTCTCTACCACTATTTATTGTATTTTTTGATAGAAGGTCTCTCATTGGACCTGGAGCTCACTGACTTGGTAAGACTAGCTGGCCTACAAGCTCTAGGGAATTCTCCTGTCTCCACTCCTCAGTGCTAGGATAATGGGTGAGCACCCTAATGTCTGGCTTTTTACATGGGTGCTGGGGGTCTGAATTCAGGTCCTCATACATTTGCGACAGTCACTTCACATACTAAGGCATCTCCTGGCTTCATCCCTGCAGCTTTCTGGTCTACCTTCCCTAAAAACAAAATTCTTTTAGTGACTTTTGCCGGAAATAATTTCCTTTAATATAGCTTGGTTTAATTTTGAGGGAGAAATGTGGTGATTAAACACTGGACTGGCTCTCTTACGAATATGGAGTATTAGTTCTATGTTGACCAAGCTTAAGAACTTACAGATCCTACACTTAGCACTCTCCTTGCTCTTTCCCAAAAGAGCACCCTGAGTTCCAAGAAGAGCAAGCAATGTTACCAATTCATAAGAAATCCAGGCTGCTCTGTGATCTTACACTAATCGTGCAATGTAATACCTTGTGGTCTAACAATTAGATTGGCTTTGATGAGAGAAACAGTCTGAGTGTGGTACAGCTAAACTCTGATTTTCCTGGACAAGCCAGGAAGGCACAGCCAGCAGCTTCTACTCCATGGTCTCCAACTCACCACCCAGCGTAGCCGCAGGCTGGTCTCACTGGCTGTTCGGACAGTGATGCTGGTTGGAGCCACATCAGGTGGGGCCTGCAGGGTCTGGATGACCCGGGATGACTGGCTGAAGGGGCTGGGACCCACGATGTTCACTTGCCTCATTCGAAACCTGGAGATAAAACCATGAACCAGTGTTTTATATCCAAGCAAAAGGCAGCAGAATGGAACAAGGTGTCCTTGGGTCTTCCCTACAGAGATCATCACTCACAGACACCTATCCATGTGTTGGGAAAGAATGCAAATGCTGTCTATGGCCTCTGTGATAGGTGGTGTTAAGTGTCAACTTGACAGAATCCAGAATCATCTGGATGTCAGGCCTCTGGGCATGCCTGCAGGATATCTGGAGTAGCTTCATTGAAGTAGGAAGATCTGCACATTGTGGGTGACACTGACCCCTGACTGGGGCACTAACTGTGTAAGTGGAGAAACAGAGTAGCACACATTGTAGTCACTGCCTTCTGCTTCCTGCTGTTGGATGCCACGTGACCAGCTGCCTTACTCTCCTGCTGGATTAGCTTCTGCACTACCACAGCCTGTACCCTTGAATTGTGGGTCAGAACAAACCCTTCCTTCCTTATGCTGCCTTTCTTGGGGGTATTTTAAGACAGTAATAGGAAAACAAGAAGTCCTTTTCTTTAAAAGCCCGCAGAGAGTGTACTCATATGACTCAGTATGACTTAGTTACCAGTTGAAGCAGATTTGATGGAACCGATGGGTAGAAATTTAAATAGTCAGTTGCCATTGGCTGACTCAAATTCAGGGTAACGTTAGAGTATTAACGTCTTCAACAAAGTTTAATGTCACAATGTTGCCCACAAACACAGTTTTGAAAGTCCAGTGTTTTGAATGGTCAAGGACATTGTCATAATCTGTGTCTATTCTGGCATGTAGCACAATGAGTGAGGCATGTGAGGCCTTCAGTCAATCAGAATTATCTCTACTTCCTTATAAGGGCCATAAGTATGCTAAGCAAAAGTGTTCTACCTCTGAGCCACACCCCAGCCCCTCACTGGGGGATTCTAGGCAGGTGCTCTACCTCTGATCCACACCCCAGCCCCTCACTGGGGGATTCTAGGCAGGTGCTCTACCTCTGATCCACACCCCAGCCCCTCACTGGGGGATTCTAGGCAGGTGCTCTACCTCTGATCCACACCCCAGCCCCTCACTGGGGGATTCTAGGCAGGTGCTCTACCTCTGATCCACACCCCAGCCCCTCACTGGGGGATTCTAGGCAGGTGCTCTACCTCTGAGCCACACCCCAGCCCCTCACTGGGGGATTCTAGGCAGGTGCCCTACTATTGAGTCATGCTTCCAGTTCTCTTTTAACTTTTGAGACAGACAGAGACTTTGATATATTCCCTGGCCTGAACTTGAATCCACTCTGTACCCCAGGAAGACCTTGAATTTGTAATCCTCCTGCTTTAGTCTCCTCAGTAGCTGGTATAACGGGTCTGTACCACCATACCTGGTTGTGTTTTCTTTCTCTATAATTTTCTAAACTGAATTTACATATAACAAAAACCCTAAGCAAGGACGCATAATGTTTGTTTCAGAAGTCTCCTAAATTAATGTGTATTTAATACAGGGGCATTGTTTTCTTATTACTTTTTCTGATCTTTGGGATAGTTACATAGCTGCATGTAATTTCACATGTCAGATCTTGAATCCTAGCAGCTCATCGAAGCTACATGTTTTTCTCTTAAGGATTGTGTATGTTGTGTCTTGACTCATCTACTATGGTCTTCGGATGAGTGTTCAAATGAATAGACTCAAAAACATCTCTCTCATTAGGCTTTAAAAAAAAATTCTAACTTTGGTATTATACCAAATAAATGCTTTTCATGAAGATGTAATTTCACCTTTCACTCTTTGAATTATTCATTCTTACTCCCTCATCCCCCCGATTACACAGAATGTATCCATCCTGGCAGAACAATGGCATTATCAAACTCAAAATCTGGTGATAACTGGAAATTTCATCTCTTGCACTGATGTTACGGGAACCGATAGCATTGCTAACAGCTTATGATCGCACTACCCTTTGTGAAGGCTGGGGATTTACTGCCAGGGTAAGTGGCAGGATCTAGAAGCAAGAGGTTAAATGCCATGTTAAGTGCTTGATTAGTGAGAAGAGCAACTCCAGGGTCATGGAAGAGGGGAGCAGAAGGGGGCGCCTGGGACATCTGCTTTGTTAAGACTATGGCCTGCAGTTCCTGGCTATTTCATGACTGCAATAGTGAGTCCTTTCTACAGTGTGCTTTGGTGGAAACACATGGCCAGGTTAACATTCAATCATGCACTGCCTCGGAATGATACTCAAACTGTGTACCTTGCTTAAGGCTTTTATATATGATCTGCTATTGCTACTTATAGAATTCCCTGTGCATGGTGTGTGTGTATGTGTGTGTGTGTGTGTGTGTGTGTGTGTGTGTGTGTGTTCTGCTGCACTTACATGAGTGCACATGTAAAATTCAGAGGTTGATATAGGGTGTCATTCATTCTTCAACTTACGTTTTGAGACAGGGTCTCTCTGGATCTAGGTAAATCAGCTAGACTGGCTGGCTAGAAAGCACCCAGTTCTGGGATTATAGGCATGTGCCATAGTCCCCAGGCAGGGTTAATGGGCTCCTAGGAATGCAAAGTCAGTTCCTCATGGTTGTACAGCAAGCACTCACTGGCTCAATCTTCCCTCTGCTTAGAGCACTCTATTTTCCATGATATAATTTCTCTTACTACAAACACATCCAGCTGCAGCCACTTCCCATCCGTGGTTCTCACCTGTAGTGTGTGTAGGGTGTGAGGTTTGGAATCTCCAGCATCTGGGCATCAGGCTCGTTCTCTTCCTCATAGAGGGTGACCCATTCCTCCTCATCTCCAATGGCGCCGACCTGTGGAAAGGGATCCTGAGATGGACTGGGCTCACCATGGTGACCAAGGCTGCTTGGTATTCTTTATGCATCTGCCTGGGTATGCTGGGCTGAGCGTAGCCACCAGGTATGTCATGCCTGGGAGCTACTGGTTCCTGCACACACACCCCTCCTGCCATGGAGATCCTGGCTCCTGTGTTTTCTCAATGCACATGACATCTGGGAAGGTTCTAGTTCAAAACTCAGTCAAGAATGTGGCCTCTAGAGGGCCAGCCCTGTGTCTCAGATTCTGGGTGATGATGGAGAGGACCATCCCCGCTGCCTTGTCCTTTTCTCATTTGACAAGTAAGAGAAGATGAGAGAGGAAGATTCAGGCAGGACTCCAAAGTGTGCTGTGATGAAGTCCTCCTCACCAGGGTCCAGAACTGGCCCGTGACACCGCATGGCCTTTTCCTCCCCAATCATGCACCACAGAGACTCCACTGGCCCTAGCATAAGGAAGCCTCTTGCTTGACAGCAGAGCATGCAGGCCTTGTCCCTTCTGACAAAGTACCCTGGTAGCTGGCAAGATGGCTCAACCATAAAGTGCCCATTGCATAAGCATGAGGACTTGAGATTTGATCCCCAGAAGCAGGCATGGGGTCTGGGGAGATGACTCAGAGGTTAAGAGCACACACTGCTCTCACAGAGGTTCCAAGGTGAGTCCCCAGAACCCACATCAGCTCACAATCACCTGCAACATATCATACACACATAATATATTTTTAAGCCAGGCATGGTGGGACACGCTTATAATTCTGGAGCTTGGGAGATGGAGACAGACCCATTCTTGGGGATCTCTGACCAGTCAGCCAAGCTGAATTAAAACCAAACCAAAAAAAACCTCAAACCAAAATGGACAGTGCGCTGAAAAAATGACACCTAAGGTTGACTATGGTCTCTCTCTCTCTCTCTGTGTCTGTCTTTCTCTCCTCTCTCTCCACATATATACACACACTCAGATGTATACACATATAGGTAAACATATGCACACATACACACAAACACAGGGACATGTACACACAGATGTGTATGATCACTCAGGTGAACACAAGCATATGCATACACACATATGACTACATACAAACTCATGCATATACACAAACACATGTACATGCACACTTATGTGTACACACACACGTGCACACATACAGGTGAACACATGTATATGCACACTTGTGCACACATACACACACACACATGCACCTCAGGACAGAGCTGGTCCAGGGCAGAGCTGGTCTGAGGAGCACCACTCTTGCTAGACACTTGTCCCTTGCAAGTTGGCCTGTGAGGGCCTATTGGGAGTCCCTGGTATTGTCCCCAGTAGTCCCCAGCATCCTCCTCTCTTGGGAATGACATGATCATGGCTTGCTCCATTAGCAATTGTACACTAGCACTTCCTGTGACCTCTAACCTGACCCTAGGTGCTTGCTCTTCTTCAGCAAGTCCAACCACAGTCCCACATACCCTGTTGATGCCACCCTGGGCTGTTCCGGATAGAACCCGCAGGGGATACTGATATGTGCTCCAGCCTGTGGCTCCTGTGAGGAGTCCATTGACTTCTGCAGCTCATGTGACTGTGTGACCCTGGGAATCATGATATACAAACAGAGGGTGTGCCCAGAGCCAGTTCAGCAAGGATCAGTCCTACTCTGCCATTTACTCCTCCGTAAGTGACTTAAATGACAAGATAGGCCTTGTGCTCATTAAGTTCACAGAGGAAACTGACTTGGCAGGTGGCCAAGCCTGTGGGGAGCGTTGGCTAGAATTCATGGCGACCTTGGTAAGCTGCAGAAATGATGCAAAGGATGAAGGACAAGGAGGGACTAGCAAGCAAGAGTAAGCATCCTGTTTCCTGGAGACAGATGGAAACCGCCTGAGATGTGGGTAGCCCAATCTAAAGCAAGAAAACCACTGCAGAAAACAGATCCAACCTCCAATTCTAGTTTCCTCCACCCAGCAGAGCTGGAGGAGGATCTAGGCACAGGGTGTACACTAATGCAAACACCTGGCTACATCTGCACATGTGTACACCCTGGCACAAACCTGTGTGTACCTGCACACACAGGCAAGTACCTGCACACACCTGTATTCACCTGAATTGGACTATATGCATGTATGTACCTGCACATAACTGTGCGTAATTGTGTGTGTGTGTGTGTGTGTATGTATGCATATATGTATGTATGTATCCATATATGGGTACACAGCAGCATCTATATACCTGTATGTATCTGTGCACATGTAAATACCGTCACACAACTGTATGCACTTGCACATACCTGAATTCACCTGAACATGACTGTATACATGTGTGTACATATGTATATACCCACATATACTTGTATGTACTTATGTATGTATGTATGTATGTATGTATGTATCCACACACATACACAGTGGTAATATAGACCTGTATTCACTTGTACACACACCTGCATGTACTTGCACACACTTAAGCATTAATTTATACATGTGCATACAAGTTTGTACCCACACATACCTTTGTGTATTTGCATACATACATACATATATATTCACACATGGCATACACTTATATATACCTGCATGTATCTGCACACATGTACATACCTGCACACACCTGTACTCACTCACCTGCATACAAGTGTGTGAACCTGCACAGTACACACCAGTTCACAGTGCTCTGCACACCACATCCCAAGGGTAAAGTTGAGGCACATATCCTCAGATGAACAAGAAGCATTATTTCTCCATGAAGGGGCACAGGCTACTAGAATTGGCACTGCTTTCATGTGGACAGACTTCAGAAACATTGTGCTAGGTAGAAGCCTGTCCCCAAGTCCTCATAGCATAAGGATCTCCTTTATGAAATGAGTGGGGTGGGGAGCCAGGTGTTTAATGAGAAGGGGGTGGAGTGGGAGGAAAGCAGGGGTGGGGTGGGAGGGAAGCAGGAGGGAATTTCTTGGAGATAAGTTTCATGTGCTGAGACTGGGTGGGAGAGGTAGGAATACATTTCTGAACCTTCTACCTTCGGAAAGGTCCTCTTTAACATGCCAGAATTTATGTTCTGTGAATTGCATCTCAGTTTTTAAAATAAGTATTAAAATTTAAGGTGGGAAGCTGTCCAAAAACATCTGGTAGAGAAAGAGCTGGGGGTCCGAGTGGCTGATGAGCAGCTGGGATCCTGCGAATGAGCAAGACAGCTGAACTAGGGCAATGGAGGGGAAGATGTGGCCACCGGCGAGGCTGGACAGGAGAGTGCTCTCAACCACCACAGACCTTGGTGGCTCTGGAAGTCTAGCCTCCGTTCTTGCCACCTGGGCTCTGCAGAGCAGGGCCACTGCTGTGCCATTTGCCACCCAGGTCCTCTGTGGCTGAATGAGAGGGCAACGGATGTACATCGAGTTTAATTGATGCTCCAAATCCCGGCAGGAATTGAACGCTCCCTTCTCTGCCTGTCTTTGCCCTCCAGCCCCATCTTTGCAAACCCTTCTAGAATGAAGCCTGGTCCTGGGCATCCTCTGGGCCCCCCTTTGCCTTGATGCCCAACATGTTTGACTCAGCCTGTCTTCCTTCTTGGTTCAGGCACATCTACCTAGGGCTAGGTGCTTCCCTGACCCTGTGGATGGCTCCAGCACTGGCCTCTCATGATAAGATGGCTCTTGGCCATGCATGCTGCTACAGGGGTTGTGTGCATCAGGGTGGTGGCTCTGGGACTCAGGCCCATCCTTCATATGACCAAGAGGATTGGAAGAAACGTGGCAACCTTTGACTGCTACTCAGAGGAGAAGATGGGGTGTGGCTGGCTGCTGGAAAAGCAGGAAAACCAGGAAACAGGAAACTCAACTGAGCTGTTTTCATTGAGCACATCAGTCTGCTACTCCATTAACAAAGATCAAGCATCATGTTACAAGGGCCAAAGCCAGCAGGGCAGGACAACAGGTCCCTATTTACAGTGTTGCAGAAGACAAAGTTCTTCCCTTTTACAGTCGTTTCCCCCTCCTCCCCCTGTTGCTACTGTCTCATAGCTGATGTCTACAATACCAACTGTGGGGGAATGTCTGGTTCATTTCTGGTCTTCCATTCTGCCGAGTTCAATATAGGACTTAAAGGCTCCAAGCCAGTCAGCCAACTGGGATAATGGAATATGACTGGGGTGTGACCCATACATCCCTGACCTTTCCCTCCTGCCAGATCAGCCTTCTGAAGGTCTCTGATTTGGAGATGGGGCATTTGACTGACAGGCCCAGTGGGTATCATCTCTCTGGCTCTGCCTGTCATATTCCCCCAATTCACTGTTTGTCATTACCTGAAGGCACCACCCGGCCTTAAGCACCTGCATCCATGCAATGCTCTCTGATCTGGTTCAAAGATGTCTGCTCCTTTGCCTGACTTCTGTAGGTAACTGCCAGAAGCTTCCTTGAACTGCCCCTACTTTCTTCCTCCCTCTTCCCAAAGACTCCATGAGCAGCCTTCTCTGCTTTATTGCTTTGGGAAGCCTCTATAGACAGCTGGCCCTGTTCTCTGTTTCTCTCTTCTAAAAGCATCCATGGACACTCTCCATCTCTGTCCAGGCAGGTGGCATGTGATGTCCCCATTCTGTGCACTACAGACTACCTTCCACCTGCCTCTGACAGGCTCAGGTCAAGATGCTCAAAAGTAACTCATACAAATGTAGTATGTGTCAAAACTCATTTTGCTCATCAAAGAGGGATCCAGCAGGATGGTCAAATCGGTGTGGAGGAAAATATGACTCAAAAATCTGTAGCATCAGTGGGAGAAAGAATGTCCAGGCTGGAGAGATAGCTCAGTCAGTAAAGTATATACCACACATGTATGAGGACCTCAGTTTGATCTCTGGGAACCCATGTAAAAGAGCCAGAAGCTAGGAATGTGCCTTTAATCCCAGTGCTAGTGAGGGGGAGACATGAGGATCCTTGCTGTCCAGACAGCTTAATATAATCTGTTTGTTTCAGGTTCAGTGAGAGACCCTCTCTCAA